AGGGAGTGGTAAGGCAGGAGGTAACTGTGACTGCGACTGGACTGGCGGAAGACACTCTAAGGAGGGAGCAGGACAGGGAGGAGGTGACTGACCAAGAACCTGCTGAAGGAGTGGAACGAAGTACGGCTGCGGCCGCGTAGCGCCGCCAGAACCAGCAGAGAGACCACCAGTAGGCTCAGCTCCAGGGTCTCCAGCTACAGCGCCCGCAGGACCACCAGTAGCTCCAGCAGCGCCGGCACCTCCAGCACCAGCAGCAGCTCCAGCTCCAGGGTCCGCAGCACCAGCAGCAGCTCCAACGCCCGGGTCCGCAGCACCAGCAGCAGCTCCAACGCCCGGGTCCTCAGCACCAGCAGCAGCTCCAACTCCAGGGTCCGCAGCACCAGCAGCACCTCCAGTAGTAGCAGCACCTCCAGCAGCTCCAGCAGCCCCAGCACCAGCAGCACCTCCAGCAGCTCCAGCAGCACCAACAGCACCACCAGCACCAGCAGTACCTCCAGCAGCGTCAGCAGCACCAGCAGCACCTCCAGTAGTAGCAGCACCTCCAGCAGCTCCAGCAGCACCAGCACCAGCAGCACCTCCAGCAGCTCCAGCAGCACCAGCAGCACCACCAGTAGCATCAGCACCTCCAGCAGCTCCAGCAGCTCCAGTACCAGCAGTACCTCCAGCAGCGCAAGCAGCACCGCCAGCAGCAGCACCTCCAGCAGCTCCAGCACCAGCAGCACCTCCAGTAGCGCCAGCCGCACCGCCAGCAGCAGCAGCACCTCCAGCACCAGGGTCCGCGACACTAGGAGCGCCACTCCGGAGACTGCAGCGCCGAGCATACCACTCTCGGAGCCGCTGAGGAGAGGGCAGCTCCCGCCTAGGAGGGGAAGCACTAGCACCAGCTCCAGCAGCACTCCTAGCTCCAGAAGCACCTCTCCTGAGGCTGCAGTACTGTAAGTACCACTCACGCAGCTGCTGTGAGGAGAGAGCTCCTCCAGGTATAGCACTCCCAGGCTCAGCACCTCCAGACTCAGCACCCCCAGACTCAGCACCCGCAGGCTCCGCACCCCCAGGCTCAGCACCCCCAGACTCCGCAACCCCAGGCTCCGCACCCCCAGGCTCCGCACCCCCAGGCTCCGCACGCTCAGGCTCAGCACCCCTAGCAGGAAGAGAGTCGACAGCTACCTCGACAGGCTCAACCGGGTCTACCTGGGACACACCTGAGGGAGCGGCACCCTGAGGGGGGAGGGGGTCTACCACAGCAGCACCTGGCGCGAGGAAGAGAGGCGGGGGGGGGAGCGGGGCAGTGCGGTAGGGGAAGAGGCGGTAGTAGGGCACCGACTCGTCAAAAGTGACGTCCTGAGAGGGCAGGACACGGCGCGAGGTGGCGTAGTAAAACTGCCAACCAGACGCGTCCGGGACAAAGCCAAGGAAGACACAAGGAACAGCGCGGGAGGAGAGCTTGTCCGCGGACGTATCGCGGACAAAAGCTCGAGATCCCCAGGCCCGGAAATGCGACGCATCGCCAACCTCCCCCGTCCACAGCAGTGTGGGCGAGGTCTCCGGCAAGGAGACACGGGGCCAGAGGTTGAGCTGATGCGCAGCGTACCGGACCGCAAACGGCCACAGAAAGTGGGGGGCAGCCGCATGGATCAAGGAGGTACGAGCGACCTCCATGACCAAGCCAATGCGGCGCTCAGCAACCCCATTCTGCTGCGGAGAGGCCGGAAGCGTGAACGACTGGCGGATGCCGTGCTCCGCACAGTAGGCTGCCAAGAGGTCGGAGGAGAACTCACCACCTCTGTCAGAGTGCAGACGCAAGACAGGAAAGTCTGAGTGGAACCGCTCACTGAACTGGAGACGAGAAGCGCGGATCCAAGGGATCAAAACATCAGGGACCTCACCCTTGGTGCGCAAGGGGAAGACCGTGGTGTAGCGCGAGTAGTCGTCAACAACGATCAGGAAGTACCTCTCCTGACCCTATCCACGGACGCGGGCTGGGCCCCACACGTCCATGTGGAGCGTCTGCAAGGGAGCAGTCGTCGGGGGAAACGAGGAGGGGTGAGGAGCGGCGCGCTGCCGCCCCTCGACACAAGGAAGACAGGGAGGAGCAGGCGAGGGTGGGAGGGGAGGGAGTACCCGGGGAAGACCAAAGACAAGGTACCGTTTGTGCATGGCACGAAGGCGCTGCACTGACGGGTGACCAAGGCGGTGGTGCCAGAGGACGGTCTCGTGTGCTAGAGAGCGACACGAGCAGGGGGCAGACAGCTGACCTGAAGCAGACGCAGACGCAGCTACCTGAGGGGACTCAGTGGTCAGTGTGTACAGGTCCGACCCCGGCTGCCGAGTGAAGGTAGCCAGGTGACGGCCCGTCCGAGCACACGTGCAGTGTGTCACGCGCTCGTAGGCAGGGGTGAACTGGTGGACACCCCGGTCCTGGAGCGCACAACCCGCCACCAAGTTCGTAGAGAACGAGGGGAGGTGGAGACCTGACAGTGTGCCCGACGGAACCGCAGGACAAGGAAGGACAGTGGAGGAGGTCGCAATGACCGGACCCCCAGAGGGGTCAGCAAGGGAGACAGCAACTGGCCGAGCAAGCTGCTCAAGGGCAGTGCGGTCACGAAAGAAACAGCGAGAAGCACCTGAGTCCAGTGTGAAGGTGTGTAGTGCCTCAGTAGACTCAGTACCAGGGGGGGCAGACTCACGAGTACCTAGAGCAGCAGCCTCACCAGCACATGGGGCAACAGACACTCTAGCACCTAGAGCGGCAGCCTCACCAGTACCTAGAGCAGTAGACTGGATACCGGGGTCAGGCGGCACACACAGGTGACAGGCACTCTCAGCACTAGTAGACAATGCATACATGGCAGTGAGGATAGCATCATAGTCAAGAGCAAAGATATCTACCCTCTGCCTAAGCAGCTCCACCCAGTCGGGGAGCTCAGCGTCGTCGCCAAGCTCTGTACGCCAAACGTCGCCCAGACGGGCGAAGCAGTGGGACTCTGTGTGACCACGTGTCCCGCAAGGCTGACCAGTCCGGACACCTGTGCGAATGACGTACGGGCAGCGAGCAGTACTCAGCGACCCTTTACTCTGAGCGTACCACTCACGAAGTTGCTGGGGCGAAAGAGCCTCGCGTAGACGACGCGGCTGCTGCACCGGGCCACTACAAGAAACTGCCGAACTACCCACTCCAGGACGACTCCCACTACTGCCACCCCGACAACCCCAACTGGCGTACCACTCACGAAGCTGCTGGGGCGTGAGGGACACACGCGGACAGCCCTGGAGCTGCATCTGGCCACGCCAGGAGCAGCAGTAGAAGCAGTAGCAGCAGCAGTAACAGCAGTAGTAGTACGGGCAGGGCAGTGCTCACCAGTGGTGGGAAGGGCAGGCGTACGAGCGGGGCGACTGCGGGGCCGCCACAGCGGCCGCTCCAGGGGCGGCTGCTCCAGGGGCGGCTGTTCCAGGGGCCAGGAGCGGCTCCTGCAGTGGCAGCTGCTCCAGGGGCGGCTGCTCCAGTGGCCAGGGGCGGCTGCTGCAGGGGCGGCTGCTCCAGTGGCCGGCTGCTCCAGTGGCCAGGGGCGGCTGCTGCAGGGGCGGCTGCTCCAGGAGCCAGGGGCGGCTGCTGCAGGGGCGGCTGCTCCAGAGGCCAGGCGCGGGTTAGGTCAGGGCGACTCAGCGGGCAGGGGCGACGCGCGGGCAGGGGCGACGCGGCAGGCAGGGCGACGCGGCGGGCAGGGCGACGCGGCGGGCAGGGGCGACGCCGTGGGCAGGGCGACGCCGTGGGCAGGTGGCGACGCCGCGGGCAGGGCGACGCGGCGAGCAGGGGCGACGTCGCGGGCAGGTGACGACGCCGCGGGCTGGGCGACGCGGCGGGCAGGTGGCGACGCCGCGGGCAGGGCGACGCGGCGAGCAGGTGACGACGCCGCGGGCAGGGCGACGCGGCGGGCAGGTGGCGACGCCGCGGGCAGGGCGACGCGGCGAGCAGGTGACAACGCCGCGGGCAGGGCAACGCGGCGGGCAGGTGGCGACGCCGCGGGCAGGTGGCGACGCCGCGGACAGGTGGCGACGCCGCGGACAGGTGGCGACGCCGCGGGCAGGCGGCGACGCCGCTGGCAGGGCGACGCGGCGGGCGGCGAGAGCCTGCAGGGGCGGCGCGCGGTCGGGCAGAGGCTGCGCGCGGGCCTGGCGGGTCTGCAGGGGCGGCTCTCGGGCCTGACGGGCCTGCAGAGGCGGCTCGGGGGGGGCCTGACGGGTCTGCAGAGGCGGCTCGGGGGCCTGACGGACCTGCAGGGGCGGCTCGAGGGCCGTACTAGCTTGCAGGAGGCAGCGCGAGGGCTACAGGACGGCACTCGGGCAGACCGAAGGGCGGGGCGCGTGAGGGCGCACGAGCAGAGAAAGGCGCACGAGGGCGCACGAGGGCGCACGAGGGCGCACGAGCAGAGAAAGGCGCACGAGGGCGCACGTAAGGTAGGGCGCACGAGGGCGCTTCTAGCGGAATAGTGGGCCCGTAGTAGAAAGCGGTCCTAGGTAGCAACCTAGGCTCGTGATACCATGTTAGAATCTAGAATAGAACGAGAATGATGAAACTAGGAATGATGGGGATACAAGTAGGCAACCCTAGCAAAGTTGTACCCCCTAAGGCTAAACCCACTATAGCCTACACAATATAAACATATAATGTTTGACAATGCATGTCGCGCCCCCACTTGCCACGTGAGGGATGCAGCAAAGCTGCCACTGCTGGCAGCATCTAATGATGCTGCCAGCGTCATTTTGCTGCCAGCAGCGTATGGATGCTTCCAGAACGATGCTGGCAGCACGATGGCAGCGTGAGGACTGTCCTCTACGAGGAGATTCCTCGTAGAGGAGCGGCTCGGCACCTTTGGAAGGGGCACTCTGGCTGGGGGGGGTAGTCGGGCTTGAGCTTCATTTGGTGCTCAAGGAGGTTGAGATCTCAACTAGACCTTTGCTCTCGGCAGGCTTACCGTAAACATACGCAGCAAAGTCCCCGCATGGAACCTGCGGAGGCCTCCGCACCCCGTGGTGCTGCATTGGATCGCGGAGGCGTGGGATCAAGTCCCTAAGAAGGTCATCATTGACGCGTTCTGCCACTGTGGGATTTCAAGCAAGCTGGACGGGACGGAGAACCACCTGGTGATGTCTCACCTGCGCGCCAGGAGCACCACCGATGTCTCCGAGGACATGTGCCTCGGGGGAACCACGGGCGACAACACGCGCCTACTTGGGCAGGTGCCAGAGGAGGAGGAGGAGGAGGAGGAGGAGGAGGAGGAGGAGGAGGAGGAGGAGGAGGAGGAGGAGGAGGAGGAGGAGGAGGATGAGGAGGAGGAGGAGGAGGGGGAGATGCAGGCGGAGGGCGTGAGGGAGGTGGCCATGGCAACCGGCCTGGATGTGCCGTACCAGGAGACCCCCAACTACCGCGGAGCGGCGGCTGAGGCTAACCGCATGATCGAGCCTAGGGAGACGGCTAGGCATGCCTGGCGAGTGCCAGACCTGGGTGTTAGGGAGCCTGCTGTTAGTGCAGGTGAGGAGGCCGTGACTGAGGAGGGCTAGATAGAAGTAGAGATTCATAGATGTATGCATGTACCCCCCTAAAGTAACTAATGATCGTTTAGAGGACACCCTCTGTTTATAAGAAAACCCCTAAACCCTTGTTCTGATTATAAGACATATGTGTCTATCTCGTACACACAAATAGGTGTCTTATAATGAGGCTAGCCTGTTTTTAAGAGACACCCGGATAATAGACAACCCCTGTCTACTATTCAACACTGTCTACTATCCGGGCGATGACGGTAACCCCCCAGGCCGACGTGCCTGTAACCCTTTTCTAGGATCAATCGGTGATCACCAGTGGACCTCTGACACCCCCCCGCACTGAGATGCCCGAAGTGCACATACCGGGAATCGAACCCGAGACCTTCGCTCTGATACCATGTCAGAATTCCAGCCACTAACTACTGGGATAAAAGGGCTTGTTTGTGTAGCGGGTGAGTGCGCCCATACCCCCCCAGGCCGACGTGCTTGTAACCCTTCCCTAGGATCAATCGGGGATCACCAATGGACCTGTGACACTTTCAGCTGTGGCCTTCCATGGAGCTGAGATGATATTAGTGACCTACCTTAAACAGCTGATTTACCCATTCAGCTTGACTGCTAGCTAGTGTTGCGCATAGTTTTCATGTGAACGAAGTGGCAAAGCTGTTCCAGCACTTGTACTTCAATCCCTTCATATTTCCAACAAGCCTGCATAGAGGAGAGCCCTAGAATTGCACCACTTGACAAGGGAGCAAACAGACCGTCAGATTGCTTTGTATGCGTGCCTAAGTGAATGTGTGCGTGGGTGAGCGCACGTGTGGATAGGTGTGTGTGTGTGTGTGTGTGTGTGTGTGTGTGTGTGTGTGTGTGTGTGTGTGTGTGTGTGTGTGTGTGTGTGTGTGTGTGTGTGTGTGTGTGTGTGTGTGTGTGTGTGTGTGTGTGTGTGTGTGTGTGTGTGTGTGTGTGTGTGTGTGTGTGTGTGTGTGTGTGTGTGTGTGTGTGTGTGTGTGTGTGTGTGTGTGTGTGTGTGTGTGTGTGTGTGTGTGTGTGTGTGTGTGTGTGTATGTGTGTGTGTGTGTGTGTGTGTGTGTGTGTGTGATTGTGTGTGTGTGTGTTTGTGTGTGTGTATGTGATTGTGTGTGTGTGTATCTGTATCTGTGTCTGTCTGTCTGTCTGTCTGTGTCTGTGTCTCTGTGTCTCTGTGTCTATGTCTGTGTTTGTGTGTCTCTGTTTGTGCGCGCGCGTGTATGCTTGTTTAAGTGTATGCATGTGCGTACGCGCGCCTGCACATACGTTCGTGCACATGTGTACATATATGTGGAATAAAGATATGTATTGACGCACCTCACGCTCGTACACTGATGTTTGAAACACAATGTTGGAACCCTCAATATTAAATACTTGCAAAAATAATCGACTTTGGGGAAGGTTGTCACATAGAAGATGGTAACCAGATCACATATTTGGAAAGCCATCACACGTTCTGCAGAACTGAGTTGGTTCGAATGTGAAAAATGTGCATTGGTAGACAACAATATGAAAGTTCTAGTACATTAAGTGAAAGTTTATGTGACAAGTATAGAATGAATTGAATACTTTGTGTAGGAATACACACGATGCTCAACATTATCTAGTGCATTTGCAATGCAATCCTTATCTGGTGCATTTGCGTGAATACGTGGGCCTCCGGCAACCGATCTAATAAGAAAAATAGGTAGGGGAAAATGCAAAAGAACTACAGCTTCTGAACCGCATCAGACTAGTGGAAGGTAGTGGTTGAAAGTGTACAAAGAGCTTCGGTGCAATATGGAACAATTCGCACGGGGTGTTTCAACAACCATAGAAGACGTACATGAGGTTTGGTGCACATATAAGCTTTTCATGCACAGTTTCGTCAATTTATATTTTATGCACTCGCAACGCCGGTATACGTTTCATATTCCAAAAAAAAACATGTGCATTTGCCTAACACGTTTATAACAATTTCCTTCATGAATTTGATAACCATGAATGACACATCGTAGTCGCGCGAACTGCGTACATGAAACAAATGGCATATTCAAATACGCAGACACATATAGGATGTATTTCACAAATTTCTACAATTGCTGCCGTTCAGATAAGCGTTTTCTGCTTCTAGATAGTCCAAATTTGTAAGTAACATGTTCATTTACAGTCCTATTTTGCCTCCCCTGGCAGGCAGGCGAAAACTATCCTGCTCACTATAGTCTGTTTGCACATTAAAACAAATGTGTGACAGTAGCGGGCTTCGCGTGTTCGTCACCTGCACGGAAAATCAGGGTGGCATTCTAACATTCTAAAAAATCAAGAATTGACCAATCGGAACAATGGGGTGATGCCGCTTCCCCAATCGAGGACATTCGTGGGAGGCAATTTCTGGCGCTGCTTCTTTCCCTATGCCAGTTGTGATTACAGCTGGTGAGGCGAGGGCTCTCGATAGGTTTTGGGCAACACTGCCATGTGGCAGGGTTACGCTCGAAACCCTGTTTTGCCCTCCACCCGTAAAACTGGGCACGGTGGGGGCTAAAATCAACCCACTCCCGGCAGGGTAGCGCCAAAATTCACTCTGAAAAGCAGGCTAAACAGGGTAACGCACTGCATTCCTGAGCCCTAGTGTCGACATACCCCTTCAAGCGACTACGGGCTTTTCGTTTTGAGCCACTCAAACTCAAATAAGTGAGGGTCTCTGGAGTAAGGGGAGGGGTTGTTTTGGGGCGGTGAAAAGTTGCAGGGTTAGGTTGAAAACTGCTTTCCTGTCTACAGGCATATCTGGAAGCCATTTTTTAGTGGACAAAGCACGTGTTTAGCTCTTGGCGGGAGAGCTAGCGACAAAAACAGTCAGAGCGCCAACGGGACAGATGTGAATAAACAAAGGCTGAACAGGTGCTGGGGTAGACCTGTCGCCATAAGGGCATTTCCTCTTGTACTCGTAACATTAAGGGTTTATAATTAATCTCCCAACCCACGTGTTGCCCGCAAGATCTGCATATCATCCGTTAGATACACCCACGTGGGCCACCATAACCGCTAGAATCTAAAATTCGTTCTTGAGGTAGTCGGAGCATTCCTGAACCTCACCTTCATCCCCTTCCTCCTCCCCCCTGGCCCTCCTTTCCCGTCCCGTCACGACGACCGCGCGCGAGGAGGGGAGGAGAGGAGAGTTCACTTCACGCGTGCACACGTGATTCAGGTGAAACTGGCTGGATGCGCTCTGATCTGTCGGCCTCGTCAAGGACAAACACGTCGGTGGATTTGGCGGCATCCTACGAACGACCACACGAAAATCATCATCAAGTTGTTTCTGTGGCAGTCAGCCTTCTCAGTCTCAATCACCAACGCGACAATCGCGGCGACACAGAGAGGCAGGCGGAAAATGAAGGAAAGGGGCTCTTTTACATGGGGGAGGGCAGGCGGGAGGCGGAGGTAGGGGGAGGGAGGGGGAGGGGGAAGGGCGATGGGTGATTTCACGCGCCTCCCGCCAAGGAATTATGCATGCACCGCATATCATCCGTCGATCATCACGTGGAGCTTTCGAATCTCAGAATTCAATCACCAGCGTATGTCTCCAAGGACCGCCTCCCATCCGCAAGATTTCGCACCATAGGCCCAAAATCTAGAAATCGTCGCCGCCGATCTCTCGACCCGAGACCACCTCCGCAGCTCCCACCCAATCCACCCCAGCCAAGCGCACCCTCCCCCCCCACACCTTCCTCCACCCCACTGAGTGAGGTCTCCTCCCCCTTTCCCCCCCGGTGGGCCCTTTCCCGTCACGGCCCCTACTCCCCACTGATCGCGGTCGCGGGGATGAGGCGCGCTGTTGTGAGTCGGCCCCGCCTGGCGGACAGGGAGGCTGGCAGCACCCTTCGAGCTCAGTCGAACTGTAAGAACTGTAATAAGAGCTCCAGTCATCAAGTGTTAACTGTCAACTGTGCGCTGCTTAGAGAGTCCAGTGGAGCTGATTACTCTTCTCAAAAAGCCTTTGATAAGCCTCAGGGTGAGCTGTCCGATTTTTCCGCGATTGCGGCAGGTTTCGACCAAGTCAGGCTAAAGAAGATTCCGAAGATTTCGGGATTGGCGCACCTGTGAAAAACGGCACAAGAAACCCACAGCGACCGCCATGACTCCGTCACCGTCACCGTCATCGTCAACAGCATCTTCGCCGTCATCAGTGCCTCCCAGCGGTCCGCAGCTTGCCGCGCCGCTCAGGTCGCCGCCGCATGATTATCAGGCGGCGCTGGCGCCGCATGCGACGCATGATGCGCCCATGGTCTGCGACTCCGCCGCGTGGGAGCCCGACGAGTCGGATCTCGACATCGTCATGTCCATTGACTCGCTTGACCCGCTTCACCCGCTTGACCCCCTTGACCCGCTTGACCCCCGACTCTAATCACACGTCCCCCAGGTCGGTTGTCATTCACTCGCTAGTTGGCCCGGCGGTTGACCCTGTTGACCCGGTCAATGTGGTTGGCTCTGTTGGCGCCAGCCGGCGGACTCGAAGGCCTATCATGACGCAGCCTTACTTTTTTGGCAGAACAACTCCGTCAGTGCGTGACGTGCACGGCTGCAGCACCGCTGACAAACTTACTAGTACCTGCGCTACACGCCTGTTTGCGGCGGAAAGAAGTCCATACGGCTGGTGCATGTCAATGCCGCTGAGGGGAGGGACGAGCGGAGCAATGAACGGAGCGGTGAAGGCTGCAGCAGGTGTTTTCGAGAGTTCTCAAAGGATGCTGCATGCATACCTGCCGGCCGCGGGTGTTTCTGAGGAATCACTAAGCTTGGTGCGTGCATACATGTTCCCTGCATCGGCAAACTCACGGGTCTGGTTTCCAAGTGCCGCTCCAAACCCAAAACGCGCGTTTGTGTCGACAGCGGTTCCATCGCGCATCTACCACCACTACCCATCACTGTTGGAGCGGGCCTATGGCGAATTGCGCGAAACGGGGTACAATGACGTGAGGTCCGAACTGGACTTCTCGCTGCGGGCGACTTTC